CGAATCGAGGCTCTGCTGCCACGTCCGGGGCCGCTTTCGGCGCACTCCCAGACGTACGCGTATGGTGCGTACCCGGCGTACTCAACGTACCCGGCGTATGGCTCCGGGGAGATTTTGTACGGAGCCCCTCCGGCGTACGGTCTTGACCTCAGCTTTGCCGTTCAGACCGAGGTTTGGGTGCCTGTTCCGACGCCCTCGTCGACGTCGGTGACCGGTCCTCGCTTTGAGGAGCTGGGCCAAGGGGGGTCTGCGAGTCAGCAACCCCCTGCGGATCAAAGTACCGCTTAAGACGTCCAACATAGAACGTCAGGTGCATCGTCATTGACTTAGGCAGGTCGATGGTGTACGACGCACCATGTCTGGCCAGGACTGCAAATGGTCCAATGAAGCGGTGCTTAAGCTTGTTGCTACCGACAGAGCTGACAGTGTCAAGAGGTCGGTTCCTCGTGTCTAGTAGCACTAAGTCCCCCACTTTAAATACCCTTAAGTTTTCTCTTCCATGTTTGTCTGATAACTCCTTTTGTATATCCTGGGCCGCTGCTGTGACGGGCCCATCGTCACACATCGCCATCGCATCCAATGCGATGGCCAATCAGCTTGTAGAACACATCTACTGGTTGGCGTGGTCCGAGACCACGCCGTTACCTTTCAATACATCTCAGAGTCTAATTTGCCTGCTTCCTCACGCACAGTGTACGTAAGGTAACGGGTTGCTGAAAGCCCGTTACAGCTGCCATGGCATCGCGGACCTAGCTGACAACGCTCATCTTGGTATCCATAAAGCATTCCACTTGTTTCCGCAGCGAAACTGGTCTCACATCCGAGACCTGGGAGGAAAGGGCTTCCGAGCCTCCCCCCACTTACAATAGAGGAGTCAGTGTCTCCTCGAAGAGTGAGAGGTAATCTGGGGTGACGGAAGCCGTTCAAGTAGAACGGCGTGAGCCCCGTGAACGCGTGCACCTCGTTGTTGAGCGCAAACTCAACAACTGGAAGCTGCGTCGACCACGTACGTGGTGCTGCCGCGCACACACTGCGCAGAGTGTCCTCGAGCACTCGATTGACGCGCTCTGTCTGGCCGTCTGTCTGCGGATGGCCCGCAGTGGTCATCTGCAAACGAGTTCCCAGTAAAGGAAACAGTGTTTTCCAAAACGCAGCCGTGAACCGTGGGTCTCGGTCCGAGACAATCGTCTCCGGAAGACCTCCTGGCTACACGCAGGACGTTCTTGAGGAGGTTAGTAAGTAGAACAAACATTGAAATGAGAATACATTCACCCTTCCTCACAGCATTAAGCTACGTCGACCTCAACACACGTATGTAGTCACCTTTCTTGCTGATCTGAGCTGTCCACGAAACTTGATCTTCGCTACAAGGCCTCTGACCCAAGCATAAGCAATAACGATGGCCCGATTTGAACGGGCATCCTCATGGCCGAAACCTTGCGCTCTCCCAGTTAAGCTACATCGTTGGAAGGGAGAGGGGGGGGGGTCAGAGGCGACCTGGAGGCTTGGAAGACCGTGCAGCCCGTACGGGAGATCAGCGTAGTTGCGTTGAAAGAAGTAAGACTGACCGCCAACGTGAGCTGTCGGCGACGGATTGACTGAAAGTGAGAGGCTGCAAACCATTCGATACGTGTAATTTAACGCAATTACAAGTGGCACGTTTTTACTGGCAGATAACTAACCACGGGCCTTGGATTGCAGCAAATGACGGTGGCGCTGGATCTTGGCATTTAGCGCGCCGGCGCAGTGGACCCGCTGGAGGTGCTTGAGGACCGCGCTCGATCCGTGAGAGTTGATGCTGTGTTTGCCTTTCAAGTACGTGAGTACAGCATTCTCGGCGCGCTCCCTCAGCTCCAGAACTCGGTCGCGGTAGTTCGCTGAGGTTTGGCTGAGCACGAAGCCGCTGTCGAGGAACAGCTTCATGTACGCGACTAGCAGCTTTGCCTTCGAGGGCTGCTGCTTCGGTGCTTCGACGTACTAGCGTGGCTCTTGCGCGTACCAGATAAACCAAGTCGCATGAAGGTAGGCTGCTGATCCTCTACGCTGTTTTTGCTTGATTTGCTCACATCTGTGGCGTCTTCATCTTGAATGCTTCTTTTTTCGCGTTACAGCTGCAGGATCACCGCTCAGCTTAGCCTCAAGCAGATCCATGCGAGCTTCTTGGCGCTTGAAATTTTCAATAAGGTGTTTAATGACAGAGGCCTGGTGCTCGATGATCTTCTGTTCTTGGCTTGGTTCCATTGGCATGGATGGTGAGGTGGATGCTTCTATGTTGTCTTTACAGGAGTGCTGCGCTGCGTCGACCAGGCTAAGAGGTCCGGAAGCGTACGTCCAGCCTGAGTAGCACAGTTTTCGAGTCGTTGCACCGCTGGACTTTTGGTTTTCAAGCCCTTTACGACGGGATAGTGTCTAACGACGCAAGCGGTTAGGACATCCAGAACCTTCCGGTTGATGTTGAAGCTCTCCGTCTCTAGCTGATAGCAAGCTGCGAACAAGACTCGTTGGAACTCGGCAATCGCGTCAAGCGTGGCTTCGTCAAAGCTGGACAGGTCTTTGAGAGGGACAACATCCTCTGGTTTGTTTCCACTCAATACCTTGGCAACCATGTGGTCTTCTCTACTTGTATTAGCAATTTAGTTGAACCCTTTGTTTGTGGTGCTTAAGTTCCAAGTTTCCCGAAAAACGATTCATCGCGTGGTCATCTTTCCGCAGCCGTTGGCATGTTGGGCCCCACCACGACGGAAAGAGTGCGACGTGAGAGCAGCTGACACACCGGCGGCAGGGGCGACGCGATCAAGCACACGGCTGACATGTGCGTAGATTGTCGGGGCCGCGGCATTACGAGGAGGAGGAGGAGCAGGCGTAGCAAGACCAGAGGTCATCGGTGGTGCGCTTAGGAGCTCCACGAGCGGCACGTCAGGTGAAAGTGTGGTCAGCGTTTGCTGCACTTGGTCAGGAAGGCTCCCGATGAGAGCTGGGCACGGTGCTGCTTGGACGGAGAGGACGAGAGCAACAGCGAGCAAGGGGCACGTTGCGAAGTCGGCGTCGGGGAAGAGAGACAAGCCTTGTTCTTTCGACGTCTTCACACGGACCAAGCGAAGGAAGAAGACACGGGCGGCATCTATAGAGATGTTCCGCTTCTTGATCATCGACAGGTCCGAAGCTCGCCTGAACAGGTACCAAAGCAGACATAGAAGAGCAGCATCTTGGCAGTCACTCTCAGAACATGCATTGACATACAAATACACAGCCATTTTTTTCAAGTCAGCCTTTGTACATGGTGGAACCTTTGCTACGAAGCCACCACCATCTCTTTTCAGACAAAAGTTATCTAAAGTTTTTCCCATTTTAAGCAGCCGCGATTCTAGCGAAGCTCGGTGCTGAGGAAATTGCTCTAGGAGCCAAATTTTGGCTTGGCGATAGTACTGCATTGCAGTGTTTCGTGCCAGCAGTGTACCCTTCTTTCCTTCACTAAACGCAAGATACATTCCAACCTTATCCATGCCGCACACAAAGCTCTTGCCACTCTCATCCTCCTCAATACATTTCTTTACGCATTCCTCCTCAACATATTTGCCCTTTAAAACTTGGAAAAAGCTGCGACAGCAGTTGCCTTAGCCCCCAATGTGATGTCAGGTTGCAATTCCTCCAGACCCATCGTGAAGGTCCGATAAAGAGGAATATGAAAGTGATACGTTTACCTCTTGTCAACTGAATGAATATACACATATTTTAGAGTTTTATCGAACTTAATACGTCCGATCGGGTGGCTTGGATGACTCACCTAGACCAACTTCATCCCATTGGTAAAATCATGATTTAGATTAACTGTGATTGGCTGGTGATATTTGCTGGCAGGTAATTGGCAGATATACATACAAAATTCAACTATGGTCCGATAAACAATCATATTCATCCTTACAAGCCCTGTAGTCAGTTTTGTATCCAACAGCCTTCGTCGTACTTAAACGAGTTTTGGAGCTGGGTTTGTAGTAAAACCTCAAAACCACAATAATCAGAGCAAAACCTCGCTGAAATACCGGTATTACAGTAGCTACTGTTTTGGAAGACATCCTAGTTCCTAAACTAGATTTGTACATAAAAGGGTTATAGCTCTCTGAATCATAAAGATTCACATTCCAACTGGTGGCTGGAGGCAATGGACGCTGCGGCTCGGTGCTGCGACGGAAGAGGGAGGGATGAAGGCCAGGCTGCCATGGATCCGATGTCGGTATGTGATGGCGTGGTCAGCGCGAGTCTATGACGGACTCGACGGGCAATGAACTGCTGCTGTTGCTCGCTTCATCGGTTTGAGCGCCGCTCTTGTCCATTGTGATGATGCTTTAGCCTAATTTGAGAGACGACCTCGCGTCGTCTCGATGATGATAACACATTCGAGAGGTTTATTTGCTGTAGCTAATGGGGGGGGTGCTGGAAGGACTGGGCGAAGCTGCGTGCTCTTGCTTGTCCTTGGCATTATCCTTTGCTACAAGAGCGATGAAGTGTGCAGTTTATTTCACGTGAATCCCAAGACTCAGCTGTCTGTGTCACATGTGCACAAGAAATCGATTGCTGCTTGGGTGTGACTTTTTCCCCATTTTGTCGTTGGCTCCTGCTGCGACATCCTGACACCTCGTGCCGGTGTCTTGTCTAGCTCTACGCTTCTTTTCGCAGTGATGCAAACATTAGGCCGCTTTTAAGACCCCCGCTAGAAGCTCCTAGGAATGAGCTCGCGGGTTGCCGTTTCATGACGATAACAATTGCAGAAGGTATCGCAATTTTGCTGAGCAATAAATAATGAGAAGAAGCGAATTACCAGCGCAGACGAGTGCACGGGCGCTTCCAGGAAAAGGAGTGACCTGGAAAGTGATGACAAGACGAAAACCCAAGCGATTGAGGTCGTCGCGATGCGCTCGAGCCCTCGCGATGAAGGTTCTCTACACTTGACCTGATTCCTTTGTCACACATTTGTTCAAAGTATATGCAAGAGCTACGTTTGCTCATGCTGCTGCTTTTCTCTTGGCCTTTGCTGTTCTGCCACTTAACTCTTTGTCCGCCTTGCGTTTTCCTTTCCGACCAGGCTTGCTTCCACCACGTCCGTTGCCTGAAACGGGTTCGCTGCTTCCCTTTTTCCCCTTCACGTCGTCATCAACGAAGTTTGTCAAGTTGTTTGTCCCGTTCCGCGACGCTGAGATATACCGCGATTTCTCTCGGGGGTATAGCGGGCCTTCAGGTGCCGAGCAGCTCGCCAAGAGCTCGTCCCAGTTCATCCAGCACGCGAAGGGCTCAGCCACCTTGTTCGGATCCATGCCACCAAGTAGCGGGCGCAGTTTCAAGCATTCCGAACATTGCACGAATTTGCGCTCGCCATCGTCGTCCTGAGAGTGCGTGTACTTGTAGTGGTAGGACAATTTATCCAGACGTCTGCAGCGCTGGATAAAGTCCTGTATAAACTTGCGGTGACGGTACTCCGCCAAATCTGGTCCGTTCATGAGCACCACGAGCTTCTCTTCCAGTGCCGAGCATTTCTAAAGAAGCAGAGCAGTTTTGTTAAGAACTGAGAACTCGATAACAGCGCTGAATACATGTAACAACACTCACATTGTGTCGTTTGTCCCATTTGTTCATCTTACAGTACCAAACTGTCGGCAACTCCGACACGTTAACTTGATCTGAAGCCGCAGAGAGCACTAGGGTCAGTCCACACCTTCTTTATTTTCAAGAAGGAGCACTTACTCGGTAGTCGACGCCACTTTTGGCATTTGTCACACTGCACCCAGTCGTCTTGCTTGGTCGCGATGGGATTCGGTTTAATCTCGTCGTCATCTTCTGCTGCTGCCTCCTTCAGTTTCTGCAACGCAGAGCTACGCGTTTCCGCCGATAACTCGGGAGACGACGGAGCTGTTGTCTCGGAGCTGCTGGCTGCTTCGTCCTCCTTTTTTTCTCCATCTGCACTCGCTGACTTTGACGCAGCCACGGCTCTCGTTGTTGTATCAAATGCTGCCTTTGTGTCGTCCCCCACCTCCGCTGCCTGCTCTTTCTCCCTCTCTTCCTCGGAAATGATCTGGACTTCGATTCCATAGTAATCCATGATATCATCGTCGTCGTCAACAGGCGCTAGGCCTGGCCAGAGTGAAGAAATGTACTTGACTCGCTCGTCAAGCGTCAAGCTCCCTGGCTTATCTCCTGTCAGAGGAACGAAGTCTTCCCCTCCCACCTGCACAGGTTTGTACTTTGGCAGCGGTCGTCGAGCACGTGGAAGTATAGAAGGGGAACTTTTCTTCTCTAAGCGATCAGCATAGCTGTGACTATTGGCCCAGCTGGGCTGTTGAACTGGGTGCGCGTTCTGGCCGATGAGCGCGTCAAACATGGCTGCTTCCCGGTCGTCCTCCTTCATCGAGGCGTAGTACTCTGTGAGAAGCTCTCGCTTGAGGCGGAAGATCTCCGCGTTGCGGCTCGGGTTGCTGAAGCCACCGTTGTGGCGAGGTAGACGCTCTGGCAGCATTGTGGTCGTGACGGTGCCGCCAGGAGACACCACCAACTTCTCTTCGGCCGGCAGCGTGGCTCGGTATGAGATCTGACAGCGCGGATAAAAGCGCACAAGGCGGTTCATTCTGTTGCTCTTAGGCTTCATGATGGTGAAGTCCTTGAGTTCAATCTCGCGGGGTTCTTCGGGCCGTAGTAAATAAACGTCCACGGTCTCTGTTTGCGTCGGTACCTGTTCTTCTGCAGTGTAAAGAAATACGAGCAGGTGCAGCACATAAGTAAGCACAAGGAGCAGAAGCCTTATGAGCAAGTAGACTGCGCACCGTCGCCGAAGTGGTAGTCGTCGTCCATGGCATTCAGTGCCGCGCTCAGGTCCATGGTGTTCTGCTGGAAGATGGTCAAACAGTTCCTTACATTCACCAAATCATTTTACAATGTCACGTCAAGGGTAGACCGATAATCGTTCATCTTTCATACTAAATTGGCATTATCAGATCTAGCTGACGATTATTCACTTTGAAAGGTTCAAAAGCAAATCTGATCTCGTCATCAGTTGAAGCTCAGCCTCTGCTGGACGTGCACGATGTCCTCGAAGCAGACAGCGAAGCGGACGCTGGTGTTCGTGTACGGAACGCTTAAGACGGGGTTGTACAACTACACGATGTACCTGAAGCCAGCCATTGAGTTGGACAAGGCTTCATTCGTCGCTGCCGCTCGAACTTCCAAGGAGGAGTTCCACATGGTGCTGGATGACCAGGCATTCTACCCGTGTCTCTACCGAGCGCCGAAGGACGAGGGCTACCGAGTGCTCGGCGAGGTCTATAGCGTCGAAGATGACACGCTGGCAGCTCTGGACGTCCTGGAGGAAGTGGATGACGATCTCTATGCACGAGACGAGATCGACGTGGACTTGTTGGATGGAGAGCGCAAGGGAGAGACCGTATCCTCCCTAGTGTACCTCATGCCGGTCATCGAAGACTTGCCCAGGCTCGAACGCATCACAAACTACACGACAGCGATGAATGCTAAGTACGATGAGCTCATGGGCGATCCCCAGCTCGAGATCTTGGAGTGTATCTACGGGAAAGAAGTCACACAAGCCGTGGAATCGAAAGTGAAGGAAGGAATAGAATTCGCAGATGCCTGGAAGTTGGTGGTCGAAGCGTAGAGGCTTTAAAAGGTGCATTAATAAACGCGCAATAGCAACACAAACAACAGTTGACGCATGTGCCTCCTGCATTTGCTGAATGTTATGGTGTCTACAGAATAAACTTGGACAGATCCGTGCGCTCCAGCACATTGGACAGACGCTGCTGTACGTACTTCCTGTCGACCTCGAAGGTCATACCGTTCATCTTAGGTGCGTGGAACGACACCTCCTCTGTGATCTTGCTGATGATAGTTGCCAGGCGACGCGCACCAATGTTATCCGTCTGTGCGTTTACCTGTTCTGCAATAGACGCGATCTCACTGATAGCGTCGTCCGTGAAAGTGAGCTTCACGCCCTCCGTCTCCATCAGTGCGCTCGTCTGCTCCAGCAAATTATGCTCCGTGTCCTTCAAAATCTTCTCGAACTCAGCAGCGCCAAGGGGTGAGAGGGCCACACGAATCGGCAAACGACCTTGCAGCTCCGGCATCAAGTCCGAAGGCTTGGAGCGATGAAAGGCACCGCTAGCGATAAACAGAATGTGGTCTGTGTAAACGAGTCCGTAGCGAGTGTTCACAGCGCAGCCCTCAGTTAAAGCCAGCAGCTCCTTCTGGACGCCTTCACCCTTGCGGTAGCTTGCCCCATTTCCCCCAGAGCGAGCCTGATCGCCAGCGCTAGCCAGCTTGTCGATCTCATCCAGGAACACGATGCCGTTATGCTGCACGTTCTCTAACGCCCTCTTGACCACTTCGTCGTCGTCAATAATCTCGTCTGCCTCCTCTGCTTCGAGGCGAGGCAGTGCCTCCTTTACCGTCATACTTGTCGTATTGTCCTCACTCTTGCTACCACCGCCGGAAAAACGCGACGTCATGAGGGTATCGAGATGTGCCATCATTTTCTCTAGCTCAGGAGGCATTTCCATCATCATCTCTGGGTTTGCAGAGGAGGGGCGTGTCTTATTTGACAGTGGTTTGAGCTGAACACGCACCTTTCGATTGTCTGCTTTACCCGTAGCAATATCTTCGCGAAGGTCGGCCCTTGAAATGTCGCTGAGCTTCTTGTGGTCCAGCAGATCGACGAGCCGGTCGATGGCGCGTTCACGAGATGCAGTAGCGTGGAGCTTCTGTGCTTCAGCTCTTTCCATGTTGACAGCCACGTCTACGATATCCTTGATCATGGAGTCAGCGTTGGCGCCGTAAATGCCCACTTCGGTAAACTTGGTGGCCTCCACCTTGAGGAATGGCGAGCCGGAGATCTTAGCCAGACGCCGAGCGATCTCAGTCTTGCCGGATCCTGTGGGACCGCTCATGAGGATGTTCATAGGCGAGATCTCGGCTCGCAGCGCGTCATTCTGCAGTTGTCGACGGCGCCAACGACTGCGCAGAGCCACGGCCACTGCCTTCTTGGCCTCTTCCTGACCCACAATAAACTTGTCTAGTGCACGCACCACATCCTCCGGAATACGGTCGGCGTCTCCGCGAGGATTTGTGCCAATCGGCGCCAGCGGAAGGTCCGTAGCAATGGAACTGAAGCGACGCAGACCAGCGTAGCGGCGCAGCATCATGGTGATCCTTTGAAATCAATTATCCTTCCTATCAAATAGGTTGTGTGCGCCACCGAAGATATGATGTGAGATAGGTTCAACAGAAAATGGCGCCAATTCAAAAACGGTTGCGATGGCGCTAATGAACGACTCGGACCGTATGCTGCTGCAGCGCATCATGGTCACTAGACTGCTCATTTACTGAAATGTAATAACGTATCCAATAATTAACTGCTTATGCTTCAATACAGGCAGCTGGCGCGATGGAAGATCAAGAGGTGCGGCGCTTGGCCAGGAAACTCACAGGCGAAGGTCAGTGGATCGCTGTCATCATTAGAAGCACCATAGACGTTGACTTTTGATTGTTGCGAGGTAGATATGACCGCCACAGATGTGGATCAAATGGTGAATAAAGTGGCTGGAAACATCCGACCGTTTGCGCTTGACGTCCGTCGCGGCATGTACGACGACGGCAAGATGTACTTGGCTGTTGTCAACACGGTGAGGACACAGGGTGCATACTTGCATTATATTACTGTTTCTGACATGTGCATACTGTATTTATGCTGTTTGTTCAGAGCAATGACTCGCTGACAGCGTTTGGTAGCAATTTCAAGCCGTGGGAGATCGTGTTCCTGCGCAAGGCCATGGAGGAGATCGTGGACACGTAAGAACAAGTATCTGCCTGTCACCATGCACTTTGTTAGCTTACTGTCTTGTGTTTATTGCAGAGATGAAGGAGCTCTGGAGGAGGCAACCTTGTATAATCTGCGCAAAAGTCCCACCACGTTGAACGAAGTGGAGGAGCTACTTCGCAAGCTGACAGCCGAAAAGTGGATCGCACCAAGCGCCATTCAATTAGGGACGCGCAGCTTCACGCTGGGACCGCGTGCTTACCTGGAGCTGATTGCATTTCTGCGCGACTTGCAGGTCAAGAAATGCCCGATTTGTCAATACGAACTGCTGCAGGGAGCGAAGTGCCACGACAGAAACTGTGAGACTGTAGCCCACCAAGGCTGCATCGATAAGTACGAGAACAGAGGAGTACGCTACAAGTGCCCTACTTGCCAAAACCAGTTGCGACGATAATTTCGTGTAACGGGCACAATCAGATAATTCTCGCGAATGCATATTTGGAACTCAACACCTCTCGTCTCTCTTGAAATTATTCCGTGTCTGTATCTTTGTGTGTTCAGCTGATTGATTATGGGGCCTCAGGGGTGGCATCAGGATCATACGGCAGTAGTGCAGCAGCCACTCTGCGGTCCTCGGCATTCAGGATGTTGAATGTAGCGCAGGCGTTGACGGTATCCAAGTATTCAATAACGATACCGTTCACCTTCATCAGCTCTTTCAGTTCTGGAGCCAGTCCGTGGTTGATACGCTCACCGCATCCAAGCACCAGGATCTCTGCATCAGCCCGTTCAGCCTCTTTCACAAGTTATATCAAACATGGCGTCACACCTACCAACAGGAGGGTTGGCAACTGTGAACACAGTGAGGTGTTCCCGCGTGATTTCCTCAACCCTTTTCGGCTTCCAGAGCTACATTAACAGCACCCATCGGAAGTCAGAGTATAATAATCGCACAAATGCTAACGTTTGCTCTTGAATGCTTTACCATGGCGATCTCGGAGAACAGCGCCACACCTCCGCGCATATTCTACATCATTGACAGCATTCGTTAGCTATTCTATGGAAACCAATCGGTTCAGCGTGTACACTCCAAAACCCACCACGTCGTTGACGACGAAGCCTCCTTCATCGTACTCGGTCACAGAGACCTTGGCAGTGCCATTGAGCATTTCCTAACCAGCACACCAGGCGTGAAATCGGTGCCACGGTGCGGTACCAAGCACCAAACGCCACAAACCTTGTGCATATCGTGACCATAGTTGATCCACCGACGCGTCAGCTGCGAAGTCGGCCGCGTCGCCGCTCGAAGGCTTTGCCGGAGCTGCAGCAACGAGCGGCTCATATTCGTCAGTGTGTCCTCCTCAAATAGAAGCCCGAGTATATCCATTTTCGTAACCCAAATCGTAACCCTCGACCGACGGAGCAATGGATATCGATGAGCATGAACACTTTATGCGAGAAGCTCTTCTCGAGGTATGCAGCTCCCGATTAACCCTGGCGACGTGTGCTATGATGCCAAAGTATTTGACTTGTGTAAATTACTTTCTACAGGGTGAGAGGGCGTTGATTCGAGCGGAAGTGCCTGTGGGATGCGTGTTTGTACACAAGGGCGAGATCATCGCCAGCGCTTCAAACCGTGTCAACGAGCTCTGCAATGTGCGAAGCTCAAAATGCACCATTTCGAATGTGATATTGTGTTAATATAGACAAATAATATTTGCAGGCCACAATGCACGCCGAGATTGTAGCAATTGAAGCAATCGCTGCCAAGTATGGTGACAAGGCTTGCGAAGTTTTGGCCGACTGCACGTTGTACGTGACGTGCGAGCCGTGTATTATGTGCGCAGGAGCGCTCGCTCATGTGTCAATCAAGCGTGTGTACTTTGGCTGCCACAACGACCGCTTTGGAGGGTGCAGCTCCGTGCTTAACTTGCACGAGCGCAGGTGCCTGACAGGAGATTAGCCTTGACAGAACGTGCTTCGGGGTTCAAGCCAAACTTCGATTTATGTATTTTCTTCCAATGCGAAAGAGCGTGAAATTGGCAAAGTAGCACTTTGGAGTCCGGAAAGCACGACTCCAGCACTTGCCATTCCTCAAAATGTTTGCAATGACGAACGTATGAACTTTTTCCCATGAGCCTAGATTTTTTGCTTTGAAGAAATCGAAATAACAGTCATCGTGTCTGCTCTCTGGTTTAGAGCCAAAACAATCCAGGAAGAAACGCAAGAAACGCAGTCCAGAAATCGAGGAGCCCTCGGTCAGTGAGGCAAACGGAGTGCCTGCACCTGTATAAAAAACTGTGACTTCGACACTATGATGAAGTGCGCTTCTATTACTTGTGCTGTTGTTTCTTAAGCGCATTAGCGTACGGCGGGTTGATAGGCTTCTGCAGTGGTTCCTGATGAACATACTTTGCCGCATCACCTTGTGTTGCCGTGTCCCCTTCATCTTCATCCAGCGGATACGATTGATCGGCATCGTAGCCAAACACATCGCCAGCACCCATAAACACAACGTCAGCGCACACACCACGCTCCGCTGATACGTCGCTGGTATACCAGTCCTCGTCGTCTTCATACTTGGCATCTTCAACGTACTGCAAATCCAGCAAGTTTCGCTCCATGTCCGGCACGAAATCCTTGGGTAAGTGGAAATCTTGGCAAACAACAAACGCCTCGAAGCTCGAGTTGCGACTCGTTTTGGGCTTGGCACATGTCACCTTACTGAAAAATCGACGCAGCTGGGCATACAACAGTGACACTTCCTTGCCTCGAAACAGTTTAGCAACAAAGGTACCGCCGTCTTCCAGAATTTGAAGGCTGATGTTGAGTCCAGCAAGAACGAGCTGTGCCTGTAGGTACTCGTCCAGATCGTGAAGTCCGAGCACGTCTGGGGCGCCGTCACTCACGACGACCTGCGCCTTCTGACCGCGAAATTGCGCGACAATTTCGTCGGCGGTAGCTTTGTGCGTGATGTCACCCTTTAGCTGCACCACTCCGTCCAGCGGCGCCATCTCCATAAGATCTACTGCTATAATGGTGCTATCTTTAGGCACGCGTTCCGCAATCACTTGACTCCAGCCTCCAGGGGCTGCGCATAAGTCCACGACACGAGTAGCGCCGCTCAGAAGTCCAAACTTGTCATCCAACTGTAGCAGCTTAAAGGCTGATCGTGCACGGTAGCCTTGCTGCTTCGCCTTGCGATAGTAGATGTCCTGTCAATACACGAGTGGGGTGAGCACGAGGAATATACCATCGGCTGCAGCGGGCAACGAACCCGCTTGTCCTTGGATGTCTTGCCCATGATCACACCACTGGCGAGAACGGAGTCATGAAGATTGTTCCGCCCTTCAATGTGCATATTGTGACATTTGTGGCAGCAGCCCCATTTGTCCAACGCTTTTCAGTCTATATACCCTTTTTGATGCCATATGATTGGAGGATATTCCAGATTACAGGACGATGTCGCAAGATTTCCAACATGAAGTGATACATGTACAGTACACCCATTCCGCTTTTCTCCGGCGTGCGGCAACTTCGACACCAGATGAGCAGCTTCTCGCACCCAAACCACACGAACTTCCACACAGGCAGCAGCAGCGGCTATTACTACCCTAACTCTGACGGCTACCAGACGCCGTCGCCCTACACCTCGTACACGTCGTACGTGCAGCCTCCGCCACCGCAATACTCACACGTTCAGCCTCCGCCTCAAGAAATCCCGTACGCCGTGCCAGTAAACGCCGCGCCGATGTCCTTCCAGGATTCGACCGACTATTCGCGACCGCAGACGTGGCGCAACATGCCGCAGCAGCAGGATCGCGGGAGCAACGCCAGCGCATCCGGCCAGCCACCCAGCTCTAGACCAGAGCAGCCCATGAACCGCGCAGGTCGCTCGTCCAGTAATGTCAGCGCTGCCAGTTTCGACAGCTCTACTCATTCTTCAACCTACAGTGAAGCCGCCATGGCTGCCAATGCATCAGTCGCTGCCGCCGCCGTCAACCCTGGAGAGAGTTTGTTTGGCAGGAAGACAAGTGCTAACCCAGGAGAAACCTTGTTTGGCGAAAGGGCGAGTGTGTCCAGTGCGACGTCCAGCGCCACCAGAAGCAGCGTCGACGCCGCGGTGGATACCATGTGGGAAGCACGCCGCGCGAGGGAGAAAGCAGAGGAAGACGCGGACCAGAAGCTGATTGATGCTGTGTGCAAAGCGTCTCTAGCCGAATACAACGACCGCGAGCGAGTGCTGAAGACGTACGAGTCCGAGACGTCACAGAGATCGCTGCAACACCAGACGTCCTCTGCAACTTTGCTTCAAGCGAAGAGCGAAGCGGAGCAACGCAAACGAGCAGCCATGCAGACGGTGCTTGATAGCAAGGTGCGCGCTAAAGAGATGAGTGAGAAAGCTCGCGAAGCCACAGCACTGTACGAACAAAAGAACAGTGAGCGTCTCGCCAAACAGACCGAGTTGGAAGCTCTTAAACTCCGCGAGGCGCAGGAGGCCGAGCTGCTAGTTGTGCAGAAGCGCAAGGATGAAGCCATGCGCAAACGCACAGAGGCAGAACAGAAGGCGCGTGAAGCTCGAGAGAAGGCCGAGGCAATGCGGCGACAGGCATTCCAGGCTGCATCCAAAGTTCGAGCGAATTCGCGCCGGCAGATCGAGACTCAATTAAGTGAAGAAGAGGCCCAACGTCAACGCGAGAGACAGCGCAAGTTGGATGAGATCGAGAAGAACATGGAACTAGCTCGTCAGCGAAAGGAAGAGGCAACCAAGAAGGCTGAGGATGCTCGTCGCCGAGCCGAAGAGCTTCGTCTAAAGGCAGAACAGGCTCGAGCTGGGCTGAAGTCGTCTACATCCACACCACCAACAGCCTCCGCTTGACCAAAAGAGCGAGAGAAGATCAAACGTAGTCACAGTTCGGTTGTACCGGTAAATATATTAGCGTTGACGAACCTTGCGATCCAGTCGTGTGTTAATTTACTAACTGTTGCCTTCCCATGGGGCAGCTCTCATAGTCAAAAGGGAATGCCCTCAGCAGTCTCCTTCTCTAAGCTCGAGAAGTGCGTTGGTGACGACGTTTTGCGCTTTGACACATCTTCGAGACTCGCGCTTGAGCTGTACGTGCCATCGGACGCAGTTGTACGACGGCAGGAGAGTGAACGACAGCGAATGTCATCGTTGAGTTCACTTTTGCGCTTCGTACACAGCCAGTCCTCCTCCTGGTTGTCGGACAGGGAGTCCGATGCAGGTGAGTCCTGTAACCAGCCGTAAGACAGCATATCTGTGGCTGTAGGACGCATGAGCGGGTCGGTAACTAGCACGTTCTTCAGTAGTCCTTTCGCCTGGTCGGAAATGTACGCTGGATAATTGATACGATTGCGTGAAACATCTCGGCGCAGTCTGTGGAAGTCCGAGTCGTCGAAAGGTGCGCAGCCAGTGAGAAGCGCAAAGATAAGTACACCGACGCTCCACACGTCGGCTGGGCCTCCACGGAAGCCTTCACGTGCAGCTTGTGCCGAGGCGTGAAGAAAAAGAATCTCTGGACTACAGTACAGAGGTGTGCCACACACAGTCTTCAGTGGCTGCTCTGGGTTGGCCACCACTTCCGACAGACCAAAGTCAATTAGTTTCACTTTCAAGTCTTTAGTGACCATGACATTTTCAAGCTTCAGGTCGCGGTGGAAGATGTTGCGGTTATGACAGTATTCCAGCGCCGACAGCAGCTGCCGGAACACGCCAGCCGCTTGGTCTTCTGGCATCTTGCCGTTCTCCAGCAAGTGTTCTAGTAAGTCCGAGCCCTCCACGAGTTCGTGGACGATGCAGATTCGGTGTGACGTTTCGTAAGCGCCTAAGTACTTGATAATGTTAGGGTGGTCCAGCGTCTTGGAGATTTCCAGCTCCGACACGAGCTTTAAAAGTCGGCGGCGGACACGATGCACAGCCTTCTCACGAACGTATTGGCCATCTGCAACCATAGAGCGACGTGCCTCCACCATAGACACCTTGTCGAAAACCTTGACTGACACTCGTTGGCCCGAGCTTTTGTCTACCGCCTCATACACCTTGGATGTCGCACCAGCACCAAGAACACGTCCGAACGAGAGCTGCGCAAATAGAAAAAAATCAAGTCACCCAGCAAATCGTCAGCCACGCCTCCCATCGTCGATAAGCAAACAATGTACGTACACGTTGCTCGAGCTCCTCCTCGCTGATTATCTCGCCGATGAGTGTGCGCAACCGATCGTTGATCGACAGCTTCGTCACCTTCTTGAGCATCGGGGCCGGCCTTCGCTCCAAGGGCGCATGGACTTTGGCCGACATTTGAGGCGATCCACGCCGTTCGTTCATGCAGAAGAGCGACGCGTACCCGCCAATCAGTGTGTCCAGCAGCGACGCCATCGGATAAAGGAAATACTGCTTCTGTATCTGCACGGACGAACCACTTGTCCTCCACGCCGCAAAATGCAAAGTGACATTGTCTCGAAAAATGGTTGGATCCTGCTTTTATTTTAGCCAATTGCCTTTACCCAAGCGATGACCGCCGACCAATGAACGGTCGCCGAAGTAGGATCTCGCACATAAAACGCACAATGAACCTACCCCGCTAATTCGGAAGCGCCCAGACCGTGAGGGCGATTCAGTTTCGCAAGCGACGAAGGGCCACAAGAAAGCTACGAACAGCGCGCTTGCTACCGCTACTGCTGTCTATTCAGCTCGCTGCTATTTGTCTTGGGATGGCCTTCCAGCCATAGATTATCGATGCTCGACGCGCACTACGCGCCACTCTTCGCTGTTGTCCAAGTTGTCATCAGCTCACGCACGTAATGTCTTGCGCAAGTTACCCAGGGTTGTTGTTCAGTCGGGTTCTTTTTTCGAGGTCCACAACGGCTCAAACCACTGGCTGCCATCGTCCCGCGGCGTGACTGCCACTCGACTGGAGTCATGAGGCTTGTTTTCAGTCCTGAAACGGACTGTATTAGAATGGGGCGGGCTGCAATTATTATTCAAACAATAATGCACGAGCATCCACTACAGGTATTGCGTCCATGTAGGAGCGCGTGCACGCCATGTTGCCTGCATGATGTAGGAGCGTACTGTACAGCACATTCGACAATGCTTGCGTATCTGATAACGTCGGAATGATTGTCATTCGATACCATGCTTTAAAGTCACGGATTGCCCAACAATAGCAGACACTGAGCTACTGTCCATAATGCCTAGGCCCAAGACTTGGCCCCAAGTTACAGGACCACATTGCCACTTATCTTGCTTGAAGGAGAAACGTACTCAGTAGGTTGATGATAACATTAGTTTTATTTCGCTGTGCGAAACAAGTTATGTATTTACGCTTTTTACGTACTGTACTCAACGAAAGTAAATACTGTGCATGCACAAATGCCAGCGCAATGCACTTTAGTTGCATCATGAAACAGGGGTACACCTCATTACCGGTTCTTGATTTTAGTAGGTTTGATTTTACTAAATTTAGTGGTATTAATAAACAGATTTTTAATCTGCTCGTCCGCTCGCTAACGCTCAACTGACTTCCATCATGGCGGGCCAGCAAGCTCCGATGTCACCAGAGCCGCCAATGCTGCGGAGCATGCCCAGTTCTGGAAGCTTCCCGCGTCTTCCCGTCACGCCCATAACACCGCGCTCACCGGGATCCCCCTCCGCGTTCTTCCTTCATACTGGGGCCACAAATATCGTCGTTCTATCGCCACCATCGCCGACCGACTCGAGCGTCTCTCACTCGGCTACCACAGTGTCCACCGTCGCCTGCGAGGCCTGTGTGAAGGCTCGAAGATGGTTGCATATGAATGTGGTGCAGCGTGTACTGTCAGCGCTTGTGTTGGTGCCACTCATCACGGTCTTCCTGTGGCTCTCACCTGCTTTTGCCACTGCCACGTTCTGCACCTTCGTGACCAGCATCTGCTCCTACGAATATGCATGGCTGCAACACCGTATTTATCTGCGTGTCATGACCAAGATGAACGCCTGCGAGCCAGGATTAATGCACAGGGACGCCGTGTCAAACCAGAACAGCCGCGATGGGGACGACAACCGTGTGTCTGGCAGCTTCAGCCGCAGCACACGAAGTGAAAGTGGCAGTAGTAGTAGAGAGAGAAGAGTGGAGGGGTCAGTAGATATCGCAGGCGACGTGTATATCAACAGAGGGCGCATTGCAGCTAGCACTAGCGGAGAAACTGTGCAGTCGTCGCCGTTAACGCCTCCACCGCCTCCAAGAGCCTCCGTTTTGTCCCCGCAATTGGACGAGACGCCTCGACAGCGAAGACCCAGCCACGACAGCAACGTACAGGAGGACGAGGAGTATTTGCACGACTCGAGTTTCTCAAATACTGCGGTGTCCAAAATTGCCGACAAATACTTCGGACAGAATGAGTGGATTGCTGCGTTGGTATTGTCAGCGCTTGCCACTCTCCTCACGACGCCAATATTCCTGATCTACGTCAATCACATCCCCGAGCTGCAGGAGAAGCAACTGTTCAAGCTTCGATGGTTCTACAGCATCGCCACCGATTTCGTCGCTGCTCTCTGCGCGTTCTTCACTCCCAATTGGAAGTATGCCTTCATCTGCCTTGTGGAGAAGGCGGTATTTACATTATTGACCATGCACTCGACTGCGTGCCCCATCAACCGCTTCCGTTGCGGTGTGTCTCTGGAACCAGCTCAAGTTTTCCTTTCTGGCGTGGTGGTTATCGTGTTCTTTCGTCTACAGACGCGCACTTCAGGACCCGCCACGTTCCTACACATTGCGCTGGACATGCTTGGCTATTTGTATATCATCGGCAGTCTCTCGGTCATTGTTGCGTTCGTAGATGACGAGCGACTGGAATCGTATCGCAAGCTCCTGATCGTCCTGCTGTACGTCGTGTGGGCGTCCGATACTGGAGCTTACTTGACGGGAAAGCTACTGGAGCGGATCCACTACAGTTACTACAATCCGCTGGCCTCTCATCTGTCCAAGAACAAGGACTATGAAGGAACGGTAGGGGCCATCCTATTCGGCATCACCGCTATGTTCATTTCCTCGGACCTTCTTAACGTTCCTGGCTCCGCTGTTGCTCAAGTTGGATTCACAGTGATGGCCGTGATAGTGGGGCGATTAGGAGATCTCTTTGAGAGTTTATTAAAGCGTGCAGCGGGTGTGAAGGACTCGGGGAAGCTGATTCCTGGACACGGCGGTGTCTTGGACCGGATTGACGCGTTGATGTTCGCTTCGCTCGTGTTCGCACGGTACTACGCGTCCATTGTGATGTGACGCCAGGCGTAGGCTTCTCGAGCAGGGCGCACGAGTTGCCTGCAAAAAAAGAAACGTTTCGTGTGTAAGTTATTCAGTAGGTTGGAGACTGGAATAAAATGAAAATATTGTGGTTGCAATTATAAAAGGCAAAAAATGAAATAAGAGTCTTCAACGCCTACGGCCAAGGATACAAAAGCTCCTTGGCAGCTCGTTGAGCAGCAAGTTCTCCATTTAGCAACTTGACCAGCGTCAGTGCGAACTTCAGCACCGTGCCTGGTCCCTGACTCGTCACGCAGCGAGTGTCCACCACGACATCTTCGTCGACAAACTCGCGCGTCATCTCCGGCTCATGAGCGATCGAGCAGGTGGCTCGCTCGCCAAGCAAACCGTGTGGATTCAGCACAACCGCAGGTGCTGAGGAGCTCGCAGCAATCCAACGTCCAGCTTGTATCTGCCACAGCAACATCTTGATGACGAGATCAGAGTCGCGCACGTGAGTAGCCCCATCGCCCTGCACAGCAGCTGTAAGCACCTTATCGAGGAGATTAACAGCAATATGCACGTACCCCAGGCACTACGATCAGCTCGAAGTTTTCGAAGCTGCACTCCTCGATTGGCTTCTCAGCCTGGATGTGTAGGCCATGATTGCCCATGACAATGTTGCTCTTGGTTCTTCCGACCGACCCGATGACGACATGAAGTCCTCCACGGATCAAGACATCGGACAGCGCCAACGTCTCCAACTCTTCGCAGCCGTCTGCTACCACAATCAAAGCTCGAGGCTTCACGTGTGGCAGTGCTTGGACTGGAAGATCTTCGTCGCCCAGCGCAATGTACTCAGATGTTCCTCCAGCCATCATGGTTTTTTCGATGTCGATTCAGCTGTGAGTTACAAATTTGAGAGCAACCTCAAGACCGTTAACTAAGAAAAAGACGCATGGGAGTAGCCAACATGAAGTTCAACACGAACGATGAGCAACGATAAACAACAGTCTTGCACTCTCATATTGACCCTCAAGAACGAAAGACAAGTCACGATGGCTCGAATTGCTCAGGCGATCAGTGAAATCGTGAATCCGAAGCCCACGGCGCTCGTTCCTGTGGTAAGCTAACTAAATCTTTAATTTCAGGATTATTTTTTTTTTGACGAGGGATCGTTGTAGACAATGGGTAGCGAGGAGATCGAGGTGGCCGCTCTATGTGATATCTTGGCTCGTGGAGGTGTTCGCGTGACTGTTGCGAGTGTTGACGGACACCTCAACCACATAGTAAAGCTCGCCACGGGTACAGCAGTGCAAGCAGACAAGCCGATCGAGTTCTGTGTCAATGACGAGTATGATGTCATTGCGGTGCCCGGCGGTCCTGGAGCGAAAGCGCTGGGTGCTAGTCGGACGTTGACGTCACTGCTGAAAGATCAAAAGTCTGCTGGTAAGCTGTACGGTGCAGTGGGCGAAGCCGTGTCCGAGGTGCTGTTCCACAACGCGCTAGTTGAAGGCCCCATGGCTGGCGACCCGGCTGATAAACTGGTGCTGAGTGATCTGTACTCGGACGACAAAATCGTGATCGCAGAGAATTGCGTGACGAGCAAAGGCCCAGCAACTGCCATCGCTATGGCCGTGACACTGGTGGAACTACTTCGAGGCGAGAAGGTTGCACGTGCCGTTGCCAGCGACATCGCTTTTAAGCCGATCAAGACGTGAGCACGTGCAAACAGTAGCGAGTCATGGAATCGAAGCAGTTCAGCAGAAAAGCAACTGCTAACGTTAGTTTAATGAGAACTATAAGCTAGTTACTTGTAGCTGGACAAGTGTCAACACTCGATTCACACTACTTGCATTCTTAATATTAATATTTCACTTTTTTACGAAGCGCAACACGAAGAATGGGGAGTGTCAGCATCGCTTGCAACGATCCTGCTGCTTCCTCAACTTGGAAAGGTAACTTGGTCTTCAGCAGGTATTTCCCCGGTACAAATACCGTTAACACAGAGTCGGTGAGATCCACTGCAATCTGCTCCGAGGGTGACTTCATCTTGGGTACATGAATGGCTACGACGATCTCGTTCTCCTGTTGACCTGACATCAACTCGAATCGAGGCGTCTCGAGTTGATCCTTTCGAAGTGCAGCAGATTTTGACTCGCTTTGTGTCTGATTTGTCTTGAGAGCCTTGCATCTTGCCGCTTGGTCCTTTGTCAGTACCGTACCTTTGTAGAAATGGCGACTCAGCCGGTCTTTCAGGTGGATATCTAGCTCTGCATCCAGGCGCTTCTGTAGCGCCTTCACGTCTCCGAGTTCCACCTGGAATCGCCGTGTCCTATCGACTCCACATACAACATACATGAAGCTGCTCCCACGAGACCAAGCTGTATCTCGTTTTTCTTCTTCGTGGAAGTGTGAGGCGGCACTAAAGGGGTTCTGCTTGGGTAGTAGCAACATGTTAGCGCCGATGATCCGTGACTGCACTGCGAACTCTCCATTCATGTCTGCGTAGTCATTGGCGCAAGTAAAAATGGCTGGGATCTTTGACTCGGCGATGCGACGAAGATCTGGTAACCAGCTGAAGAGTAATTCGTGTCTTTGCGAGTCCACAAAGTTGCCGAAGCCGGTGTTGTATCCTATAATGATAGAAGTCTCGGGTGTACAGTCACTGAAGAGCTGCGAATCCTGGAAGTCCCCGAATGTTCCTTTAAAGTGATGAACTGTGAGGTTCTCGGGCTGATCTTCCTTTACTGTTTCGTCCCGATCGTCAACTTCTGGACCGATAAAGAAGAGTGTGACTTTGGCGTCGGCGTAGAAGGCGGCCACCTCGTTCCAGTAATTAGTGATGCGCCATATACGTTGCTCCGCCTTCTGCGAAGCTCCAATTACTAACACACGCAGCTCCGGGCCCGTGCAGAGCTGTAACAGCTGCGTCACGTGCAGCAGCGTAATGGGAAAGCTCAGCGCGTCCAGCATCGATGCATCGTATGTCGCCGTAGCCACGAGGTCTACATGAGCACTAGAGGAGCTTCTGGAGGTCAAGAACTGCTTCCAGCCAGCTGACAGGCTCACAGACTGTGACGGATATGGTGGAAATTGCGGAAATACTTTGGACTCGAGCCACCGAAAAGTGCCGCTGTACATCCCATCGCCACGCGGGTCCAGCTTTAGATGCTGTGCGTCAGCAGCATGGGATGTCGCAGCCTCACTCGCCTCCGTTTGCGTAGGTTTCCCCGCATTCGGTCGTTGACGTCGACTCTTCTTGCCCATGAGATGCGAAAGTGCGATCATGAAAGGTCACGATCTTCCACGTATGACGGCCATTTCAAAATTACCGACAGTAATCAAAGCTGCGAACAATAAGTAATTACTATACTGTGCGCTGATTGATGTAGTATCTACAAACTTCATAGCCGCATACACATTTCAACATGTTTACGGTGCGCATTACCGAGGGGGGCGAAGAGCTCACAGTCACATCCGAGCCAAGTAAGCCGGAAAAAAGAGACACTCCCTAGGCACCAGCAGCAGAGCAGCAGCCGTCTGGCTCCCTACGTGTGTGTCGTGTCGTGAGTGAGTGCGTGCCATGGCGGACATGAACCGCCGCAAGGGGGGCGTGCGCTCGCAGCAGAGCTACATGCAGGCGACGTCCCAGCAACAGTTTTCGGTCTATCAGCAACAGATGCAGGCCCAAGCGCAAGCCCAAGCGCAAGCCCAAGCGCAAGCGCAAGCTCAAGCTCAAGCTCAAGCTCAGGCGCAAGCCCAGCAGAATCTCTATCAGTACCAGCAGTATCAGAAGCAACAGCAGAGTAAGGTGCCAGGCTTCCATCCCAACCGTGGCGGAGGATACCGCAGCGCCACTGCTGCACGTCCTGGAGCCCAGAAACCCTCCACGACTGGAGCTAAAATGGGCATCAAGAGCGGCATGACGGTGGAAGATCTCAAGCGACTCACACAGAAGAGAATGCAGCAGTCCAATCCAGCCACACCGACGGCCTCAGCGAGCGAGGGATTCTCGTCCGCTAGACCAGCTACACCCAAGATCAACATGGCAGTGGTAAACGCCACCTCCACGCCCGCAGCGGCAGCTACCCCACCAGTTGTTCCCAAGACTGGCATGTCAGTTCAGGAGCTCAAGCAGCTCACAGCGCTTCGTGTTGCGTCTCAGAGCGTCCCAGTACATGCAAGCGAAGTGACGGGACTAGTGAGTAAGGCGGTGCTGAACAACGCAGCCAAGTCGCACTACCGTGACAATCTACGCACCTCGCTCACACCAGGTAGTACACCCAAGCGCTCTCACCACACACGTAGCAGTAGCAGCACTCAGTTTGGCAGTGCGCAGTACAGTGGCTTTGGAAACGATCTGAGTCGCAGTCACGGACCCAGCGATCTGAGTCGCAGTCATGGACCGTTAAACTCTGAATCAGGCGACGTGTCAGTGCGTGGACATCGCAGTCGCTCACGAAGCTCGCAACTCCCCAACGTTGACTCGTCTGTGAACGATATGCCCATGCGCTACTCGTACACGAGTGGCCAGACACCGGAAGATTATTTCTCTGCTTACGACTTTGGAGGAGGCAACTCCACGTCGTCTCAGGAGACCGATCCTGGACGTGGCAGTCTTGACGATGGCGCCAGCTCCAGTCGCAACTCATTGCTACAATTCTCGGAAGATTCGTTCCCTCCCCCGCCTCCAATGGACGAGAGTGGCGGCTTTGTTTCTACTGCGTTGCCGTCCTGGTCTCCACCGCCGACTAGGAGCAAGAAACTCAACGCTTCAGCGAGTAGTGGCGCTACGTTTTACAATCAGCAGACTTCATATTATAATATCGCGTCCAAGGACGAGCCAGCCACGACAAGTGAGGTTGGAGCTGGTACCAGTCCAGCGCAGGACCAGAATTCCGTACTGGCGCCGCCTCCTGGACTCACACGAAGGCCGTCGATGACGGTGCCGTGGCAAGTGGCTGAAGCTGTGCTGAACACGCCGCAGACGAATACTGGACGGAAGAAACTGGTGGATCCAGATGCTGACACCAGTTCAGGTGGACTAAACTCGTCTGCTGCTGAAGCTGCGGCCCAATTAATGGGACTTTCGCTACAGTCGTCTTCGCGTGGTCGTAATTCCGGCATCCCACCTCCTCCTCCGCCGTCTGCGGGCATGCTGTCGAGTTCGCCGTCCACTTCTGGCGGCATTCCGCTACCTGGAGGTGCCAACGCCGCACGACGTGGCAGTTTCGGTAATGCTGCGGAGTTCTTCAAGTTCCGGCGACGTAGTAAAAGCCGTCTTGAACTCGCGCGTGATTTGTCTTTTGGCGACAATGGAGAGCTGGCTGGATATCCTAGTTATGGTACAGCTGGAGCCATGCCGGGTATCGCTGAGCGTCACGGTGATGCTGAAGACGAGATCCACGAGGATTCTGCCTCCGACGCGAGCGTCTCAACGTCTGCGAACGATGAATCCAGCTCGCAGGACTACACAGATGAGGACGTTATTCAAGTGACTGGCGGCTATGACGATAAGGCAGAAATCTCGGGCAGTTTTGTGTCATTTTACAATGCTTCGCGACAGCAACAGAGCGGGCTTTCAACGCTGGCGATTCCTCCGCCGCCGCCTCCACCTCCCATGACTGATGACGATGATGATGCGTCGACTTCGTCGTCAACGAAGGCCAATGGGCTGCCCATGATGTCTCCGAACGGTGCGCGACTTCGTAAGGTGGCGGAATTGGCTCGACGCGGTAGTTTAAGCAGCGAAGACAAGACTCGGGCCAAGGATGAAATTATTCAGAGCTCGTTGGGGATCGGCGCGAACAATGCTGCGCGTCTATTAGCTACCAAGAAAGAAGATCGAGGAGACCGTGTGCCAGCCACAGCTCCGTCCGTGACAGCACCTCCTGGATTCCCTGGGATGCCACGCTCGACACCCAAGGCCTCGACCAAGAAGATGCTCGCACCTGGATCTGGGATCGTGCGGAGCTCCGCGACACCATTTGGCACTTCTTCTGGTGCGACTCTCGTTGCCAGCAACGTGTCTCCAGGATCGTCGAATGCTTCACAGCCTCGAAGCAACAATACATTGGAGGAGCGTCTAGCTGCTGCAGCACAGAGAGTGGCTGAGTGTGTTGGAAAGGGAGATATGACAGGGTTCCAGCAAGCTATGGACGAGTTAGACTGGCTTCGCAATGAAGCCAGCAAACTTATGCGCGGTTGAGTGATGCTTAACGTGGAGTGTGAGGTGCGTGAAACAAGCGTTTAAGTAGAGAAAAACAATCGAACGGTGTAGATATCGAGAGGTAAAACAGCTTTTTAGTCCTCGATAGACAGCAGGTCTCTAGCCCCCCCCCCCTCAACATAAACAAAGACACTAGCATCTAATTATTTCGTGTTCAGATTGGAGTTTTGTAGCAGAAAACTCTGCTACCGGTAATTTGTTTAAAGTTGGTGTCAGGTTGGACCGGTTTTGAAACCGGTATTTTGAGAAAAAAACTGAAATGCACATACAGCTTATAACCTCGCAAACGCGTTCATCCAACTTTCAGCATTTTCAGCCAGAACAAATATTGCACTCTGTAAATGGGAAAATGACACCAGGTGAGTGGATACATGAAAGCTGTGACAGAAAGTGTAAAATGATCACAGACGAAGATGGTGAACACAGCTTTCGTACCGACTCACTTACTGTCGCAACTTGGCATTCAGCAAATCCCTTGTTGGTCGGTTGGAGCCAATCCCAATTGGGAGACGATACCGGTAATCACAGAACCCCCAGTCTAGTTTATCCCAATACTGTTGTTTTCATCCCCGCAAGGTAGGCTCCTTGACGTTTAGCTCTCGCGAAGCGTCTGCTGTAGTCCATTCTGGATAATATTTCCACTTTTTCAGCAGCTCTATCTTCTCTCTCTCGGCCCGCTGGGTGCACGTGCGCTTGGACACCGCGCCCTTAATTCGGGATTGGCCACCGGAAGCAGCCGTTCAAAACGAATCAGACTCAGATAATTCAGATTAACTCGCGCGACTTAATCTGAATCGGGGAGAAAGTCAGAATAACTCGCGCGAGTTATTCTGACTCAGCGAGAAAGTCAGATTAACTCGCGCGAGCTATTCTGACTCAAGGAGAAAGTCAGGTTAGCTCGCGCTAATTATTCTGACTCAGGGGGATATATTACAAACACAGCCACGTCGTGTAATAGGCCTGCAGATCGCTCACTGAAAATCTATCCATTTCCTGCTCAAGTACGAGCTGGGCTAGGTGATCCGAACCTGTAGCAGTGTATTCTTGTGGCTCACCAGACACTGGTATTGTGAAACCATATTATGCTACAGAGGTCGCAGTACTGAGTATAGACACGCACGTAAAACTCGTACTGTACAGACCTCCCATGAGATAAGGCGTAGTCTTGAACAGCATAAAGAACGTGTGAAACAGTATCAAAAGTCATTCCGACTTGAATAGTGTTTTCCTCATCGCCGCTGGCGTCTTCAATCCTTCATGAAAATGAACTGTCTCGGACGCTAGTCGCGTGCGCACAGGCTTCCAATCAACCGTGGTGCGATCACGCCATCGGTCAAACTCTGGCCGTAGACACTCAGCGAGGTAGACAGCGAAATGAAACCAGAATATTAGGGAAACAGTGGGCTACAGCATAACATGGCAGGGCAAAAGTAGCGATTGCGAATAGGGTAACAAATACGTGTGCCACCAGGACGATCGCCTTCACTATGACACTCGGCAGTTGAGATGCTATGTAACAGGGGTACATTGTGTCGAAAACAAGGGGAACGAAGTATCCAGATAGTTCATTGACTCTCAGTACATATTGTACGGAGCTACATTATTGCTTGTTGATCAGAGCATTGAAACTGGTAGTCATCTTGTTATAACAGTTGATATCTGATAATTTAAATACATCGCTAGGTCCAGTAGTAATAATCGTTTTGTGCCTACAAATTTTAGATGATGCAGCTCTGTCAGCGTCAAAATGTAGTAGCAACTTTTTTCTAGCTACGCGATCTAAAATTGCATATTTACAACTCCCACAAAATTTTGAATTTAAGAAAAGAAACATGTGGAGCTGTTTTGAAGCTCTTTGTCGTTCGGTGGCTAATATAGTTTTCGGCCCACCTTGTTTCAGCCATTCAATCATTTGGACACACATTGTGACGTTTGTTCCCTAAAGTCCTCACTTACTGACGCCGGTTTCACTTTGTACACCGACCGGCGATACCGACCCCACTTTGCTCACGTTTTGGCACACCTTTAACTTTCTGTCACAACTTTAGTGTATCCACTCATATTTTGTCATTTTCCCCTCTGTAAATACCAACAAAATCTATGAAGTTACGTAAGAATATTTTACATTATTATTACCTGGCGATTTGGACAAGCCTGTGTTTTTTTTAAATCTGAGTTTGTGCAATTGGAGCGAGGGACTACTGAAAGCCAGAGCCTCCGCTCGGCCAGCAACACAGCGCATTCCACTGCCATCGTGACATGTTGTAGCCTTCACAACTTCGTTGCGAAATCAGCAGCTAGTGCTCCGGGGTCACTGAAACTTTTCATGACCCAAGTTGCTAGAATGACAAACATTGCTGGATGCACAACTTTGCTGGGGTAAGCGTTCTATGAATCAAAGTTTGATTGTGATTGAGGGATGTGTTTGGAGCCGCAATATTTTTGAGTTGACTCATCCTCCTTTCTCATTCTGAAAGATCCTCTGAAGTGCTTAAACGTAAGAGGCGGGGGTGGTGCTGTCGTAGAAATTGAATCAGACGAAGTTTGTTTGTTTCTTGCAGGAAGCGATCGCAGTAAACTTAAGTACGACGGCAAACCGAGTGATCTGCTGCTCTTCTTGGCGAAGCGGGGCGGCGGCTGGCTGCCTGACGACAAAGCTTTGGACGATATGCTTCAGAAGGGTGTCGAATCTTTGGGGTTTGAGAAGATGCGCTCGACTTTTAGACTGGATAGCGCGGCCTTATTTGGCCAATTGATTGACGTTGTGAATGTGCCACTGATCAGGGACAGCGAAGCACATGATGGAGGTCAATCAAAACGACCGATTTCGCTTCTCCAAACAGGCTACAAGGTCTACATGAAGGTTATTGCGACCAGAGCACAACAAGTCCTCAGCACTTCGATTGGGGAGTCGCAGCAGGGGTTCGTGCACGGACGCAACATGATGAAAACAGTGATGATGATGATGGCGTTATTGGCAACAGCCAACCATCTACCCGAATTAGCCACAGCACTCAGCGAAGTGATTCTACTGCTTGACTTCAAGAAGGACTATGACACTGTGTCTAGGGAGTTCCTCTTTCTGGTGTTACGGAAATTTGGATTTTCCGAGGCATTCATCAACATGCTGCGAAAGCTACATGATGGAACCACTGCCCAGTTCCTGGTGAACGGAGAATTGTCGGAGTTGCAAGCAGTGCGGTCAGGAATTCGACAAGGATGTCCACTCGCGCCCCTGCTATTCATATTAGCAGCGGAGATATTATCGCTGGCGGTCCAACAGGATCCAAACCTCAGAGGTATAGCCATTCCGGGGGGGGGGGGCACGGCGCTAGACACAGCTTCTCGGCGTTTGTCGACGACTCGACGGTCTTCTTGGAGCACGCGAACCAAGTTCCGCGAGTCATGGAACTCGTACGGAAGTGTGGACAGATGTCTGGACTTCAAGTCCAGCCGACTAAAAGTCACTTGATATTCCTCAACACAGCAGTGCAGGAGGAGACCTACAGCGGGCTACCGGTGCTAGCACATGGGGACACCGTCAGGTACCTGGACTACGCAGTGGGGACTGGCCCTCTACAAGATGTTAATTGGGCCGGCCGCATCCGCAGCATCCAACGCCGCCTCGCGACAGCGACACAGCTCGCAACAAGCGTCACAAATCGTGTGACGCTGCTGAACGTCATAATGCTACCAGCCGTACTGTTCACGGCTGCAGTTTTTGACATGCCACAATGGGCGGACCAACAACTCTGCAACCTGCAGAAACAGTTCCCGTGGCGGCAATCAGCAGCAACAGAAGCAAGCCGGCACACGATGAGTCCGGGGCTAGTATTTGCACCACGTCAAGCCGGGGGAGTGGGGCTCGCATCAGTCAGGATCGCGTGCAAGACTCAGAAAGTCAAGCATGCCATGCTTTGGCTAATTCAACAACCGGACGTCTATTTCTGGGCGTGGAAAGCCTGGGTATTCAGAGGCGCGACAGCGACAGGACAGAGAGGAATCACACCAGCTCTCCTCCAGCCACGTCTCGAAAAGGCACACCGCAGGACCTCGAGCAACACGCTAACCCGTCTCTTAGGATTCTGGATCCAGCCACCAGAGGAAGACACTCCTGCGGCCATTTCAGACTATCAACACTGCATGCGGACACTGGAACTGGAGTCGATCAGCTGGACAGTGAAGAGAGAGTGGTTGCTTGAGCTACCGGGGGAATTGCCGCAGCCGACGCAAAGATGGACACCGGAACAACAGCGCTTCTGGGCAGCGTTCGTTTGGACTTCGAACCCATGGATCCGGGATAAGGATTGCCGCATGCTCGAGGCAATCAAATTTTCAAAGATTGAAGAATGCCAGATAGCGGATCTCCGCATTACGCGGACCGGTAAGGCGACATTTTCTTTCCGGATTCCCACAAAAGGACCTAAGCCACACCAAGAGGCTAAGCTTCGCCGCTGGGCGTTAGCTATTCTCCTGAACTCACCCCGCCTGCGAGTAGGTGAAGTCATGCAAGTCCAGCCGGATCTGGAGCTGCGGCATCCGCCACAGCTGCAGCATGAGTATCAGTGACGTGTCATTGGGGAAGGACAGGCATTGGGAACACTCGTCGGACCTCAGAAGCAACAGCATGGAACGATCGTATTGGTGCAACGAAGTGATGGAATTCACTGGGAGGTAGGAACGGTGACTCAGGACAATGCAGTGACGACCCAGGACAGGAGGAGCCTAGAACACCAGCAGCAGACGACGAGCATCGTCTTTTACGCGCATCCGGCATTGTATCGGTTCCCTTGGCAGGTACCAGACACTATAGCCAACCGACACGTACTCCAAGCGATAAAAAAAACAGCCATACAAACGATATCGCGGCTCGGAGAACGAGATCACAACGGTGCTGGCGGGCCTTCAGGCAACAGTGGGGACGAGCACATGGCAAAGGGCAGCGATGAGTCAAAGGCCGGCGCAGCTCTGGGCTCACTCCAATGAGCTCACTGAATACCAAGTCTGGGTCAATTACCGCCTCGCGGTTAGACAGCTCAACCTGTTTCACGCCGATAGGCCACGCGACAACTGCTGTAGACAGCTACCGGCTTGCGCAAAGGAGAAAGAAACGCTGGAACATCTCTTCTGGGACTGCCCGTGCGCGCAGGCGTGCTGGCGCAGACTGATGGACGGGGGAACTCTGGGCAGATCAAGAGCTAGGGCGCTTACAGCCCAACTGTGATAGTCGTCAGGCGCCGCCCCTATTAGCGATCATGAAAACGAGCATCCGGAGCTCATTCCCTGATGAGGTGCCAGAGTATACGGAAGAATGGAGGCGTATGTGGAGAATCACCAGTAGCATCTGCAGCACGAATCTGTGGATGCAGAGAAACAGGACCATCTTCCAACAGGAGGAGACGACGGATGAAGTGAGTGTTAAGGCATTCTGGAGCACCGCAATACGGCAACTCACAGCAATTGCACGACGAGAACAACGCAAACCAGAAACACAAGAAAAAGGAACACGACTACGAATCTGTCAAGCAGCTTTGGCGAGTCGGCCGCGAGAGCATCCACCGCGGGTGGTGAGTCCCGTACAACCACCGGACCTTTCCAAGGAACCGGCGTTGCTAACCAGACTTAGGACAACACAGACATCTAGTCGCTAATATGCCAAATAGATAAGTCTGCCTCTCTCTAAAACGACAGAAAGTGGAAAAAGCGCCTGACCCCGTATTCCGAGAGCACTTCAACAAAATAATTGAACAGGACAATACAGGATCTTGCGCTGAGACGATCCGCAAGCTGTTTATCCAACGCGACTATGGTACTACCTGGTATTACGAATCGTAATTAACGATGCAAACAGCGCGTTGGTAGCTGCTGCAACTCTCTCGAGGACGATAGAGTCTATCGTCCTGTGTCTATCGGATAGACACAAACAATGATGTGACTGAAGATACATATCACGTCGTCTGGGCCTCTCTCATTGGGACCGTGCTGGTCGAAATGGCTGGAGGGAGCATCTGCCGTTTCTCCAATAAAACAGCATCGACGGGCGGATCTGTGCTACTACAAGCAGTTGAAGTGCGTGTTTTGTGGACGAGAGAAGTGCACTGGCGACTTGAGTGTTCCATTTAACGAACTATACGAGGAGGTGATCTGCTAAATATGACGATGCACTGTGCATGTTCGGATACGCTGTCGTCAAACAGCGAGTTTGCTTGGCGATCATCAAGATCCACAGCACCACCGAGAACCCGCACGGAGCAATAGCAGAAAAGGTCAAGGTACACGTTCTCACTGAGAACTTCTCAGTAAGTGGCTTGCATCTTTAATTGACTATCTTGAACTTGGCGACGGCATATACCGAGGTAACGGAGTGAAAGTTTGCTTTAAGGGGGATTGTGTGGACAAAATATGACCACCAGAAATGCAGTGCAAAGCTATCATCGCCAACTTAAAAAAATCTTCACGCTAAAATGAAGAAGACTTGAGTACCTTATGAAACGATCTTGGTCTAGCGCCAACCAACAACTAAAGCGCGGTGGGTTAAAGCCTATAGATCCCAGCATGCAGCCGCATGACGTCCAGCAGTTCGTTACTGCATTGCGAAACATTGTCGCGGGCTGCACAAGATCAAGGTGATGCATCGCGATGTGCGATGGGCGAACGTTTTGAAGTATCGGGACCGCGACGAATGGTTTCTCATTGACTTTGACGAAGGCTCTTCGGCTCCAGCGAAAGGGGTACAACATTTAAATGCTGCATCGCATGCCCCGCAGATTTCCTTTGACGGCCATTCGGTAGCAGTGGATATATAAAGTGTGGACTACTGTACCTCTTACGTACTGCAGTTGTATCTAATCGTCCGCCCCAGCTCGATGAAATGCAAACGAAGTATAATAGTACTTCGTTTGCATTTCATCGGAGCAGGATCCAGCAAACCGACCGTCCGCAGCAGCTCTTTATGCGTCATTGAACAAGACTGTGGCGACTTGATCACCGCTGGCTTTCAGTGTTCACACAGGCCGGCTTCCAAATCTGGTACGTCTTTGATTCGACGTGTATCAAAATTCACTAGCAAGATGCTTTTAACCAAAAGACACACTGGTGTTCTTCATCATCTTGTCTTTTCACCAGTTACAGCAAGATTTTGTACTTCTCTGTGGACGGCACGTGGTTGACAGCAAGACGGCCATCGTAAGACACGGACACGAACATCCAGGCATCTCCTCCAGCCGCCCATCGAGCTGCGTACACGGCGTCCTCGTGTTCTTCAATGCGTCGAATCAGCGTGTCTGCTACAGCGGCGCCACCTGCTGTCTCGTCCATGAGGTCACGCTCATCCAGCTCAACTAACGGAGACGACGAGATCGACGACACTCTCCACAAAGCCAACGCTGCGTCTGATCCTCCTGACACGACAAGCTGATCATGTTGAGGATGATAACGTGTGCTCCACACCCAGTGCGAGTGTGCGTTCATCGTCAACAATGGCTTCCGGGCATTGCGCAAGTCCCAGAACTTGAGTTTGCCGTCGTCTCCCCCACTTGCGAGCGCGTACGGTTTGTTCGGGTTGAAGTCGAGTGACAGCGTCGCACTAGGGTGTGCGTCTTCAATACTCACCTTGTCTTGTTTAGCTCGGAGATCCCATGTGCGTACACTGCCGCCAAGAGCGAAGGCCAATTGCGAAGCGTGATGCGGATCCCAAGCCAACGCACTTGCACCTTTCTTCGTCGTGCCTCCCAACATCGACACATCCAGCTCCAGTTTATCTTGTGCTTCCACCGACCCTCCGCTCAATTGCCACGTGCGTAGCAGGGTTTCGTGGCTGGATGCCAACGTGGATGTGTCAGCTGTAGCGTCCCAAGCGACTCTAATCACCACAAAATAAAATCATTAGCTTTGGAAAAGAACACATCGACGTCATTCTGCTCGTACTCTGATACTGGCAGCTTTTGAGCTGGAAATGCCGCCAATTGCTCGAGATCTTGAGCTACAGCAGCCCCGTCCTCCTCTCCCGAGTGAGTTCGAGTATCCTCATCCGGTAGCTTCCATAGTGAAGCCTCCGCCTGCTGTCCTCGCTGCTTGCCACAAGTGACCAGTAGCTGTGCATCTTGAGGACTCGGAGCCAGACTCAGCACCTCACCAGGATGGTTGAACACTTGACGCGTCATGACGTTGCTAGCATCATCGTCCACCTGTACTAAATGAATCTAGTAGGCACAGACGTTTAGTATCGTCAAATAGAGTTAAGGGATCTATAAAGCTTACTTAAGTACCTGGTTGGGCTGGTTCAACGTGCTGGTTCCCACGAAGAACTGCGCGCGATCCTTCTCCGCCAGCACGGGCTCCAGCGTTCGCACCTGGTTCGAAATGGACTGTATCGTTTAATTGAAACATCACAGCTTCTCTTGGCCGCAGAGGGGCGTTGTACCTTGGTGCCGAAGCTGAAGCTGCATGCGCCGCCGCCGAACATGATCTATATTTTTGGTCAGCACAAAATTGGCAGCTCAGTACTCATAATTTAGAAAACTGTAATATAGGATTTTTTTAAAGAAAAGATGGACATTTAAATTAGTCACTAAAATTAGTGTCGGATCAAATCGTCAGCTCAAATTTAGTGCCCGATACTTGCTGAAGATGTCGCTGCAGTTCCTGGGTCAAAAGTCTTGGCATCCGGCCAATAAGGCCAACCAGAAGCGCATCTGGGTGGCTGAGCAGCAGGCCAAGGCGAGAGAAGAGCGTGAGCGGCAGAAGGCGAAGGAAGTGCGCAAGGCAGCTGAAGCGCTACAGGCTCAGCAGGCTGCCGCTGCCTCTGGAGACGTCGTTGCTGCTCGTCATGTGGCCAGTGCACAAGTGAATTTCCTATACGCGGCACCTCCAGGACTTCCAGAGGCCAAAGAAGCGGTGGATAGGAAACAACAGACAGAAGATGACGAGGCAGTTCGGGAATTTCGACGCAGAGCCGAGAGACGAGGAGACTCGCAACGCTCCAAGCTCGAGCGATACGTGGGCCGAAGAGCTGAGGAGACGCTAACAATTAAAGACCAGGTCGAACGGTTCCCCATACTGAAGGACGCTCCAGTGGAGGGCAAATACACTGAAACTATTAAGGTTAACTTCAACCCCTTGGGACTCAGACTACGCAACGTACGCTGCATCCGATGTGGAGAATGGGGACATCAAAGCGGGGACAGAGAGTGCAAACTAAGAGACCAGAATCCAAATGGTAAGTGGCTGTGTTTTATAGAAAAGAATGGAGGGTGCTGTGCTAATTAAATTTTTAAAAGATGCTACGAGGCAGAAGTGGGAAGACCCAGTGACGGAGATCAACAAGCTTAAGCTGGCCAAACAGAATCTCGTACTGAGGAGAGGCGCCTTGCCGTTAGAGATGCAGGAGGCAACTTCACAAGAGTTTGAGATTTTGCAGTCAGATGACGGTAGGTTAAAGGCATTTACTCTACTTGGTTTATGATGATCTCAGACGCTGGCGTTTTTTTTAATGATGGCAGAGGATGTAGAAGCCGCTGAAGACGCAATTTTGGCCACGTTGTCTATGAGGCAGAAGAAGAAGTTATTGAAGAAGCTGAAGAAACAGTCGCGATGCTATAGCCGCAGTGATAGTGAAGCTGACTCTGATGCGTCTTCCCATCGTCACCGCTCGAAGAAGTCGAGCAAGATCACAAGTAAACGAAAGCGCAAACACACGCATCGATTAAGAGGTCGATCTGAAGATGGCAAAGAGCGCAGAAAGGAGCGAAAGAGACCGCGACGAAGATCGCGCTCAGAGTCTTAAAAGCAAGCGGCCCGGCATTGATAAAGGATGGAAAGTGAGTCACTGCCTTTCATATTGACACACACATTTTTCAAAGTGCTAGACGATGTCGTGGATGAATCCTGACGCGGTATTACTCTTCTGATTCGTGTCCCTGCACGTCTTGTGTGCTGCATTGGTTGCCAACGTGGCGTTATCTCTGGATTCGGTAACGTCTGTTTCCGGCTACAACCTGCACGAGATTTCCTACGTGTTACCTCCACCCGACTATGTCCTATCCGTCGTGTATCCCGTGCTGTGGGTCATCTTAATCGGGGAGTATAGTCCCTTCTCGCTGCTAGCTCCGTCAAGAGCAACAATGGAACTTCTGGTCGACAGGCCATGCTTGATGATCGTCGGTCTGGTTGGTCTGTGTGGCGCGTTTTATTTTTCTTGTGCGATCTTTGCTACTTGGTATGGTTGGATTCTACCTGGCCCCGGCGACGTGGGGTTTGATGTGGTGGGGAACATTGCGCTGCTATTTGAGACTGGTGCGTGAAGACGTGCGTCGCCTAACGAATGTGATTACAGTAATGTTTAACAAGCTGTTCGTACCAGTAAGGCAGTCCTTTTTCGGTTATTGATACGATGCAGTTTTCCCGCGCGGAATATTTCGACTTCAACACGTACGCGAAGCTTATGGGATCTCTCCTTTTGTTGGCGTAGCAGCGTACGCTCAAAGTCAAGACCCTGTAGTGGCTTGGATTGCTACGTGGTTGATGGTGGAGACCATCAACAGGAAAAATACCTTCGGTGGTGAAATGAGGGAGTCGTTCGAGAAGTTGCAGACTACTGCGGCCATTGTGGTGCATTTGTTTGGGGTGGTATTGCTTGTGGATACAGTCAAAGGTGTAAACGAGTTTTTAGGCATGGTAAGAATATTGCTATAATAGCTTTATAGGGGCTCACGTTTCTTAGTTCCCTCGCAATAAATCCTCCTCAGAAAGCGACGAAGGATCCGACAGCGTGTATGGGACGATATGAACTAACGTTATCGATCGTTTGAGAAGGATGTCATGGTATATTTCTTAACTGGTACATGTATCTGCATTGTTCTATACGACCACAAAACACGAACGTGTCCCCTAAAATGCAACTTATCTACAGCTGTTTGAAAGAACCGGTACCGGTAATGCAAAACGCTACTTGCTAATTGCTGACCATAATCTGAATTGTGACATTTCGTATTACCAGCAAACTGAAAAAGAAAGTAGCGTGGGCTCCTTGTTTGAGCTCATTTTGCTTTTATACTTCGAAGTAACTTACTACCAAGACCGAGAACTCAAACAATCCACTGACAATGAAGCTTATGGCCTGCATCGTTGCTCTCATCGGTGCCGTGACTACCATCGCTGTCACGCCTGCCAATGCTACGTCCTGCCCCAGGACTCTGGGGTGCGGAAACGAGTACTCAGAATCCAACATTGAGGTCGGCAATTGCTGCGAGAAACGAGGCGGAGACTTCGCGGCGTGTTGCGCTGCGAGTTGCAGCACTGGCAGCCCGTGTGGCTAAGTACGGTTAACGCAATGTCCCCTGATTATCAAGTGCTTCAGCATCAGTTTAGCTTCGACAAATAGGCAAGCCTAACTGAAATTTATCGGGAAATCACCTTGTTGCTCAGCGTGCCAATAATTTGCTGTATCGGCTTCATTAAGCTTTTGTGAATCCAAGCTCCAATTTTTTTAAAGCCTACCGAACAAGATCCGTGCAATGAAGGAGACGTCCTTCTGACGAGTACACAGCCAGTGATTGGCAATCAGCCATTTTATTATTTTAATTAATTACAATTATTTTGTTTTTTCTTTAAAAAAAGTGTATTGAAATTTTGAAAGTCTATGTGACACGCCTTCATTTCCGCTTAACTACGCCAGGATTTCTGGAGAATAAAAAGAAATCCTGCCAGGAGTTCTTTTTTCTATTCTAGACAGCTCCAGGAAAGATGGTAAAGATTGCACTGTTGTGTGTGATTATTGGTGTAACGGGGTACGTAGCCCTAAGTGTACCCTGGTTACATGAAGTGTGACACTTCACACTTCAGGAGTATGACACGTCATACTCCGAGATATTTGGTACAAGGTACCAAGGTCGTTCAAAGCCAACCATTGGTTAAATGACATTGCATTTCTATAGGTAACTAACAGTTTGTATTAAACCCAAACTTAACCTACCTATAAATATACTCAGTTTACAATCTACCTTATTTAGGTCACTTCGCTCTCTTTACTAAAAGAGGGGACCTGTGAACTGCCGTTCACTGAGAGTTTGTATACTCTCGGAAGATAACTTCCTCTTGCGCAAGGTGCTGTGTGACCCCGTCACAATTGGGGAGGTAGGAAGCGCGTTGAGATGACGCATGGCGCGTCACCGGGCTCTCCGACCTTCTATTACTACGTAGAGTAGGTGCCATTGGCACAGACTTGTAGGGCAGTAGGTGTAGAGCAAGTAGGAATTAGAATGTAAGACACGTAAGTGCCGGGCAAAGTACCGCGACAGGACCACGGAGTTCTGGTGCTTGCCGCCTCTCACTCGTTGTGCGAGCAGCACAGCAAAAGCAGTTGTGTGAGTGAAAGCTGCCAGCACCTGAACCTCCATGTTCCGCAAAGTTAGATTAGCACATACTCAACCTAAGATAGTCTATAAAAAGCTAAGTATTTCACCATCACCTGCAACGCAGTTGCAGTTGCTCATCACCACCAATGTCGTCCTTCATACAGTCCTTGGTATCTTCCGCACGCAGCTCGCACGTGAGCGCGTTGCAGACCGGTACGCCGGGATGCAGTACATGCATAGACACGCGTAGGATTGTAGGTTGGATCGGTAGTACTGGTATTGCCAGTGTATTTGGCTGTGGCAATGACGTCTGGCACTGGACACTGGCAGACGTAGCAAATAGCATCTCACAGTAGCAGGATAGCATCTCACACTCCCACTTGATCCCGGCGATGCAGTGCCGAATCGACGCGATCACATCGCTTCATCCGTACACACACCACTGAGAATAGTCGTACGATAGCCACCACCACCGTAATTTGCTAGCTACATACATGTAGTCTCCCACTCGAATCGCACATGTCCATAGTCCAGCGCAGTTGATTGCATGCTAGTGTTGTGGTACAGCCACACGGAACTGGTTCAACCAGTCGGCACACAGACACACTACATGTCATTGTCGTCAGTAATGTCTTAATTCGTCGTACTTGACCGCATCGCAGGTGACGCAGTCAAGGTATCATGCATCGCAGTTGACGCATATTTAGCCTTTTCATTTACAGTGGTGGCCATGTCACTGTCTGCCACAATAGGCAGTACCTTCAGCATCTTTCGGAATCGAGAGAACTTGACCACCGCAAGTGGCTTGGTCATGATGTCTGCCACCATGTCCGCTGTCCCGATGTGTTGCGTAATGATCCGTTCTAGTTCCACGTTCTGCCGCACCATGTGGTATTTGTTGTCAATGTGTTTTTGCTTGCTGTGCGTGCCGGGTTTAATTGTTAGAGAGATGGCTCCCTGGTTATCTCCGAATAGTACAGGTAGTGCATATTTCCACGCTAGTTCTCGGCAGAGCCCTGCAAGCCACAGCAAGTCCTTTGTAGCTTCAGCCATTGCAACGTACTCAGCTTCACATGTGCTCTGAGCATTAATTTCATGTTTACTTGATGCATAGGAGACAACATTGTTGTCCATTGTCGTCACGTATTCACTGATGCTGCGGCGGTCAACGGGATCATTTGCATAGTCAGCATCCGAATAGCAACCCACTTGTAGGTCACTTGCTGAAGCAACATCCACCACAAGACCAAAGTCACGTGTAGCCTGCAGGTAGATCAATACCCGCTTGGCTTGCGCGTAGTGAGTATGGTCGTAGCTGGCTAGGTATTTCCCGAGATGTCTGGTTGCGTGTGCGATGTCAGGTCTTGAGGCATTTACAAGATACTGAAGCGCACCAACCAGCTCTCGGTAGGGCAGGTACTCGGTCGTAGCAGGAACAACCGCCTTTGAGGGTGTCAGAGCCTCAAGCGTAGTACATCCACTGCACGTCTCCATGTGAAATCGCTTGAGTACTTCGAGTACATACTGTTTCTGGCAGTAGATAATCTGTCGACTGAGTCGGTTGGTCAAGATCTCCACACCTAGTAAGTACTTCACGGTTCCCATGATCGTGAGCTCAAACGTTTCTTGCAGCGCGGCTGCAATTCGAGCACACAGCTCACGTGGACCCATTAGCAATAGGTCGTCCACGTATACAGTTAGGAGCATAGTCACTTCTCCACCCTTCTTCAGCGCGTACAAGCCGTAGTCTGACTCCATTCTCTCAAGCCCAAGTGTCAGCAACTTGGCATGTAGAGCTCGGCTCCGTACGTTCGGTGCTTGTTTAAGTCCATTGCGGCTCTTCACGAGCTTACAGATAAACGCTGGCCCATCAGTTTGAAAGCCTAGTGGTTGCTCCATGAAGATCAACTCATCGAGGTCCCCGTAAAGAAACGCGGTCCTTACATCGTACTGAAGAACTTCCCATCCTCGTTGAGCGGCGAGGTAGATGACGACACGGATCGTCTCAAACCGGATTACCGGTGCGTAGGTCTCACTGTAGCTCACGCCTAGTTGTTGTTTGAAGCCATGAATAACGAGACGAGCTTTGAATCTTTTCACACGCCCTCGTTCGTCACGCTTAACATCGAACACCCATCTACACGTAATAACCTTGACGCCCTTGGCTGCCGCGCGTGGCACCAATTTCCATGTCTTATGTCGTTTCAGTGACTGTAGTTCAGCAAGCATCGCAGCCTTCCACTGAAGCCAATGCTTACTCCGACGTGCCTGCTTGTAGGTCGTCGGTATCTCAATGTCCATATTGATAGACATCACGTTGCCCACCACATAGTCAAGAAGCCGCACCCTTGGCTTCTGCGTCCGTCGAGGTCACTTGAGACAAGGTTGAACAGGAGGATCGCGAATCTCAGAGGTTTTCGTCTCCTTCTTTTCTGTTTTGAGTTTCTTTCGCGTCTTTCGTTTTCGTCGCTTGCCGGACTTGGGTGCCGCATGTGGCTCCTTCGTCTCATCGTTCGTAGCAGCTTCAACTGGTGCATCTACACCGGCTGGCGACGCTACACTCTGTTCTACAGGTAAGTCGTCTTTCGCACTCCCACTGGACTCATGCTCTTTGTCCTGTAGGTCATCAGCTATCGGCACCATCTTCGTCATATTCGAAGACCCAGAACTCCTACCAGGCAGGTACGTCTCCATACTAGTCTTGATGCGTGCCACCGGAACACTATCGGGCAGCTGATGATCACCGTCGTGATATGCATTCTCTAGGAGTTGATTTACGTAAGTACCGTCACTTGTAAACTCCTCGTGAAATCGCGTGTTTCGTCCACGTGCAGTCACGACTTGAGCTGTCTTCAAATCCAAAAATTTGTAGCCCTTGGTATCATGACTATAACCAAGTAATAGAGATAATCGTGCTCTCGGATCCAATTTTCCTTCTTTTGTCTGGACTCAGGAGGGACACGCACGTGTGCCACACATCCCTAAGTCCGAAGCTCATCCATATCGGGTGTCACACTGTATAGCTTCTTGTATGGCGAGACCAGTCCTAGCGGTTTAGTTGGTAGCCAATTCAGCGTCGTAACAATGTGTAGAAGTGATTCTCCCCATAGCATGTTAGGAAGATGTGTAGCGGCTAGCATAGCACGGATGCGAGGCAGTACGGTGCCATTCGCTCGCTCCACCACACCATCCTCCTGAGGAGAGTAAGCATTCGTGAACAGCTGCACAATCCCATGCTCATTGCAGTAATCCCTCAGCGCATTACTGGTGAACTCGCCACCCTGATCAGAGTGCAGTCTCCGAACAGTGAGCTTGGGAAACTGAGTCCGAAGTTGATGTAGCAAAATCTTGACGTACAGTGTAGCCGCACTTTTTCGTTCGAGTAGGTACGCCCACTTGAAGCGAGTAGCTTCATCAATGATTAGCAGGAACATAGTTGCACCACCTTCCGTCGGCTCATTCATCGTGCATATGTCCATCATCAACATCTCTAGCGGTTCAGACTTCCGTTCAGGAATCCTTGCATAAGTCATCCGTTTAGTCTTGCTAGCAACACACGCAACACACTCGTAGGAGCTCGAGCTTGTGAATTAATCTTTACTCCGATATCGAGCTTACTTGACAGCTCTCTCACAGTGTCTATACTCATGTGAGCGAACCGTTGGTGCAGTAACTCCATCGTCTTTCCGCTGTCCATGTCTCGTTTGCGTGCTGCTATCACCATCACTCCTGACACTCGCTCTGCCTTCAATCGGTAGATATTGTCTCGCATGGTCAGCTTCAACGAAGTACCTGGCTTTGAGAGCCAAGCTGACTGCTAATCCTCCGAACACAGCAACTTGTACCTCCCAGCCGTCTGCAAGTGACCGAGGCTGATAATGTTCACCTTTGCATTAGGAGTGTAGACTACGTCCTCTAGGAGGCGATCTTCTTGTTCCCCGGCTATCTGGTCTACAATGTGT